ACTCCGCCTTAAGGCAGAGCTATGCACTAGAGGGTTAAGAAAGAAACAAACGAACAACCACACACTCACACACAAAATAAACAAATATTTACATGAAAAATATAGCCAAAATATCTAATTATTATTTTCAATTTGGATTGGATTTAAATACTTCCAGGAACTTCCAGTGGTGCATTCGATTCCAGGAAATATTAGCAATGGCAGTAAAATTGAAATCGTTGGTCAAATGCTTCGTCCATACATAAATTACTTTAGGATTAGCTTATCTGATTCTAGCAATAGGAATGAGCATGACATAATATTCCATCTGTCCGTACGTTTTGACAAAAATGTCATTGTGCGAAACACCTCGGAAAATGGAATATGGAGTGAAGAGGAACGTTATGGTGGATGTCCAATTCAACGCGGTGACGAATTTAAAATGGTTATTTTGGTTGAACAGGACGTGTTCGAGGTTATATCATTTTTAATATTTATTGGTAGTATTAGTTAAAAATGTCGTTTTTTTTTGTAAGAATACAACATTATGCGTGTCATTACTTTGACAGTGACAATAAGTGTATCTTAAATAGCGTCAAAAAACTATCAAATTCCATCTGTCAAAGTGAACACAAGTTTATACACACAAGTTTTTTATTGCGTTCAAAATGTCGAATTTCGTTCCAACAAAAGAGCATTTGCGGGAAGTTTTAATTTGCTTCTTCCATCTAAAGAAGTATGCAACTGAAGCACATCGTTTACTCACTGAAGCATATCCGGACTATGCTGTAGACATTAGAATGTGTCTGCGTTGGTTTGCACGATTTAAAAGTGGTGATTTTGACACGGAGGACAAAGAATGTCCTGGCCAGCCAAAAAAGTTTGAAGATGAAGAATTGGAGGCATTACTCGATGAATCTTCTGGTCAAACGCAAGAATAACTTGCGAAATCGTTGGGAGTAAGTCAAAAAGCCATTTCCGATCGTCTAAAGGCTCTTGGATTCATTCAAAAGCAAGGAAATTGGGTACCACATGAATTGAAACCAAGAGACGTTGAAAGACGATTGTGCAAGTCCAAAATTCTGCTTGAGTGCCACAAAAAGAAGTCGTTTTTGCATCGACTTGTTACCGGTGATGAAAAATGGATTCATTACGACAACCCGAAGCGCAAGAAATCATATGTGAAGCGCGGAAAACGAGCCAAATCAACGCCAAAGCAAGATATTCATTGTGCCAAGGTAATGCTCTGTATTTGGTGGGATCAGAAGGGTGTCCTCTATTATGAGCAATTAAAACTACCATCACTTACAATGGCAAATAATGTAAAAAACTGCATGATGGCGCCATCTCTATGTGCTCATGAAAATTAGAACAAAAAGTTTGTGTA